AGAAGCTAATTTTTTATTCAACTTATAAATTTTAATGAAAGAATAAAGTTGCAGCTAAACTTAAAATTTACTACCAGCATAACACTATATATATACATATATAGAGAGATGTGTATAGGTCATAACTACACGATATGCATATTACCTGACTTCAATTTCAAGACTATACATTCATAAACGTTCATTTAGATTTAAACTTTCATTGTTTCTTGCCAACTTAATTTATTCTCTCTTTGAGTTTGCTTCATTTGCCTTAAAGCATGATAGAAGCTAGTAATAAGTAAGAATTACCCTGAAGATATTTCAAAAATATTTTGGGAACTTGTCTAATTAAAAAGACAACACTTCAAATAGTCAGATATTTTGAATTTAAAAAATTTTATAGAGGAAGCAAATGATTTTAAATTATGAAATAAAAAACCAAATATTTGAACTTTTGTCTGCAACTAACATAATTTGCCAGAAATACGAAACGTTCTAAAAGGTGATGTGCAGCATAGTGACAATACAAACAAGGTCATATGATGAGATCGGAAAATCGGGGAAGTATTAGGGCGTAGAAATGTAAAAGATTTTCAGCAGCAATGGAAGCAGCAATAGCAAAGGCTACAACAGCATCACAGCGATATTACGATAACGCTGTAACTTGAAGGTCATTCGAGAATGCATAGTCATTACATTAAGTATCTCAATGTATTTTTGAAGTATATTTAGCTGCTGCTGTACAATCAATGGACATTTCTATGAGATCTCCTTAAATTCATTCAGAGAGTCCGACATCAGTAGTATACTATCACTAATGCATCACTTCAAATTTTGAAGATAGTTAAGTTTTAAATCCATGTATGGTTGCTTAATTAAAAACTGTGCTAATATAGCTAGGTATATATTGAAAGAAAACTACCACATGAAGAAGCAATCATGAAGAGTACGGTAGGAGGAATATTATAACACAAGGCAGCTTACATGGAAGATTGGTAATAGATTGAGCTGATAGTATTGAAATATAAGCTGTTACTAGTGGCGAGCTTAGATATGGTTAGAAATATGAAGAAAAAGGAGAAGGAGCAAAAGTAGGAATATTAAGTAACGGCAGGTCAGTGACCATGTCGAGGCGAGCAGCATCAACAATCTGATGACAGCCGGTGCTAGGGAAAAGGCACACCTCCCCATTCCGCCACATCAGTCAATATACTCACAGCAATAACTGAGCTACCTGGTTCAGCTCGGAGCAGTGTTGGAATTATGACGACATCACCATGTAGAAAGTTTGAGAAGCCCCTGTGACACTAAAATATTTCAGGACAAGAAAGTATCACAGCATCAGGAGTTGTCAGGATGATCCATTAGGAATTATAGGAATAGAGGCTGTGTAATTACGGTGAAATGATGGTAGACTCCTTGGTTGGAGCATTACAGCAAATGTCGTCGACCTACAAGCTGACCTTAAACAGCCACTGAAATATTTCCGCTACTCTTCCTTTCTTCCTTCCTTTCTTCCCTACTTCTTACTCGCCAGTTTACAAAGAACGGCAACAGCAGCAGTAATAGTAGCAGCAGCAACAACACCCGAAAATTTCTTTAAAACGTATGTATATGTATGTATGCAGTGATCCACTCTATAAACCGAATCCTCCTTCAAAATACCATCGCTTCGGGCATCAACTGATCCTTTCATCTACAGCAGCCTACATCCCATCTCCTTTCCATTCACCAAATTTTCTCCTGGAGTGACAGCCGTCACCGAGGTCACAGCACCTATATAAACTAACCGCGCAACTCGTAATAACACTGCAACATAACAACTTCACTGATTTATCTTCAAATATTCACAAAACTCTGGAACACAAAGCATCTCCTTTTTTAAAAAAAGTCGTATTTATAAGTAAGTTACTAAAAAATAATTTCGAGTTAAGGAATTGTAATTTATGCAGTGATTAATTTCTGCAGCTTTGATATTATTTCTGGCAGAATGTTACAGATTTTTTAACAGCGATCACTAGCTATCAGCTTGTCAAATAGATACATTTTTATTCTGTATAAGGACTGCAGCTATACTACAGTTAATGACACTTCCAAATTCTGTACTTAAGCACTGTCTCATTCAGCATCAGCAAATAAATTGTCAAAGAGATTCTCAAATTCTAAAACGAAAAAAAAAAAGCATAAGTGAGAGATTGCGCCTCGTTTATTATCTCTCGATTGTATATAGTTTTGGCTCTTGATAAAAATAATTTTAATGATATTTTAAGAGAACTTCAGCGATTATTAATTTTGATTTTTTGATCGTTAAATGAATGTTTGCATAAAATTTTTCCTTCCCTCTCAAAATTTGTTTCACGGTAATTTCAATGATTTTAGATAAAACTACACTTTGAATAACAAGACCTAAGTTTATGCAATCCATTTCGCGGGGTTTTCTTGACAAGTCTTGATTTCAACATTATCATTATCACTTTTTGGGATATTTCCGCTTAAAATTTCAATTTAAGACTGTTCAATTTAAGAATAGTTACGTTTCAAAATTTTAAAGAAATGAACTAATGAAATTTATTCACCCAGCATTTGCTATGAAAACCATTGCACTCAGCTCCGATTATTAGTACTGACTACAAACCAAACAATTCTTTCGCTGGGTCACCTCCTTCTATAAATTTCGAAATAACAAAATACCTTTATGTTTTATTTAAATTTGATGTTTTCTTGGAATAGAAAATTGCTTTCTTGAAGGGATGAGGCAATTCGGGGATCAAAACAAAATTTTAAGGAAATGTTCGTCCAACAGTATACAGTCCGTTACCTATAAATTGAGGACATCTTGAAACATTCTCTATCTTACCACTGTTGATCGATGATCAGCAATTTCTTGTTTTATCAATGAGTGTTACCTCAACATTGCTTCGTTTGAAATTTAAATAATGATGGTAAGATGGCTGGTAGGCAGCGCTATCTCAAATGAATTGCTTTGATGGTGCGCACAGAAGGAGCAGATAGGGGTTCGGTGCTTTTCGGATGGGATCTGGTTGACAGCACCCGCGACAGCATGGCAGCCTAATTTGTTTTCAACCAAGTAAGATGAGCAATGGGTGAAGGTGCCGCTCTTGTATTCGTTGGATTCCACAGCCATCGCTCCTGCTGGCAACAATACATAATAAACATGCATTCAATTCCATCGGTGCTATGTTGTGCTACCAACACGTCAGGCATCGCTGCCATCATTGAGATCTGACCAACAGATCTCTTAGATGTCGCATGTGTATGTATGGGCGTTTCTATGTGTCACCATGAATGAGCATGCATTTTGTGACTAGCGGTGATCATCTCTGAATGGAACAGGAAGGACAGGAGAAAAGGGGGAACCGGGGGTTTCATGGATCAGTTAGTTAGTTGGAGCTCGGAACCAGGGCAAGCAACCAGTAACACTGCCATTTTCCAAATTGACCTCTGAAATAAAATGAATTGAAATGAGATGCATTTTAATTGTACACATTCTCATTGCAACCCTTTCTCCTTTCTGTTTTTCCATTGCTGTATCTGATAATAATAAATGTAATATCAAATTTCTGCTGAAAATGCCTTATGCAAATTTGCTTAGTGAGATAGAACATACATTTATTAGCATGTCGGGATTTTTACTTAAAAAAGGACAGAGTAGAGCAGGCTCTAATATTTTTCAACTCAAGATGTTCCATTCGTGAAAAAGGAAATTTTCTTCTGCATATCAGAAAAATAAAATATGAGAAATAAGAGTGGAAAACTCTAAAAAATTATTTGAAAAAAATAATCGCATATCAAATGTCAAATGTTATGTTTACTACTTGAAAAAAAATGGTACTCATTGAAACAACTTAGCAGAGAAAATACAAGTGATAACTTTTGAATCACAGATCAGAAAATGTCAAATCGAGAAAGAGACCCCATTTGTAGTAATTTGAAAAATACAACCTGTTGAGAGAGTTTTTCGCAGATTAGACAATTTATTACTGCATTAGGATTTTTAGGCAGCGGCATTTAGAAACAGCCAACAGGTGTTCCATATTAGTACTAACCTTCCTCTTTAAATCAAAATGATGACATTTGTTTAATGGTTTATCATATTAATTAATGAATTAAAATACAACTTATCTTCAAATATGATCATCATTTGATCGGAAAAGTTTAAGAAACTTTTTCATTTACTTGGTGATAAGGAGGAAGAAAAAGTGGGAATTATTACTGTACGTCATATAAAGAGTGCAGCTTTAAAAACCTTATTGCAATCACATCTATTAATCATGGTATTTTAACTTAATTCGAGGTCTATCTTTGATAAATGGACATCACGACATCTATGGATCCTGAAGTTCAAGTAGCAATTAATTTTGAATGGCAATACTTCGCCATGAAAAAAGTTTGGCGGATAAAATTTTACTCATATTATTTGAGCTTAGTGATTTTTCCTCGTTCTTAAATGATTATTAGCTAGGGAATGGAAGTTTGATTTTCAGCTAAAACACGTATGAAAATTGATCAATTATGAAGTTACAACATATACTTTCTAGCGATGAGAACTCTTGCAATCTCAAATTTAGAAAATCCATTTCAAGTAAAATCTTAATTCCTTCTCTTCATTTCTACTTTTGATATCTCGAAGCATACGATTGTCATCGTTCGGACTACCCCAATAACTATCTCCAAAATTTGTGAAGCCACATGATCCAAACTGGATATCTTCTGATATTTGCCCTTAGGATAAATTCCGAAACCATAAAAGATATAGATCTGAAATTTCGGCCACTTAATATGAATATGCAAACTAATTTTGGTTTAAAGTAATGTTTTTACGATGAGATATGACCTCAGAATGAATTTCAATCCAAGAAAATAGGAATAAACTGTAACTAATAATAACTGTGTGATAGACTATAACTGTGTGGGAAGACAACTGAAACTATAACAAGTTCATTGCCGTGCAAATTTTTCTTACAAATGCTGCAGTCACACAAAACTTCTTTAGGATTAATATCTGAAAAGAAAATAGTATCAACAAATTCAGATGAAGGGAAAAAACGCGAAAATTTTCGCATGAGAAGAAACAGAGTAGGTGAAATGGCTTCAAACTTTTTAATGTTCTACGTGATTTTCTTTATTTTGTTATTTTTCTTCTTTTATTTCTTTGAGATTCATTTCCTTATTTTTACATTCCTTCTATATTCTAGACCTTTTATAACAAACTTTAATGGAGCACTGCTTGCATTCTAATCGTGCCTTGAGATAGACTTTTTCACCAGAAGGAGTTAAAAGTTAAACCTCGAAAAAATGACTTTTGTATTTCCAGTGAAATAACAATTTCTTATTCTCATCAATTATCATCAATTTTTGGTGTTGCATGATTTTCAAGCTTTTTTTTGCTTTTTACACACTTCAAATGATGATTAATTTTGAGTCTTTGCTTTATTACTTGTGAAAAGGTGCAGGAAAAGTTGTCGGGTAGAGAAGTGTACAGTGTGCACCGTGTTAACTAAACATCCTTGACAAAAGACCATGTGATGAAAAGGAAGAAGTCTGCCCATCTCAGCATGCTAACAAACAATAGCAGTCAAGATCAATGCAGCGAATTGTTGACATTGTATTTGTGTCAGTAGCGCACCACTGCATTTACTGCTTGTAAACGCGACCTTCGAAACTATAGCTCTCAGCTCACTTCTTGACATGAAACTATTGCGAAAATGTTTCCGTGCATGTATGTATGCATGTTACAATGGCAACGCTTTTATTGCATTGTAATAGCTTCGGCAAAGCATAAGAAGAGTAAGGAAGATTGGGAAGACAGTTAAATGTCCTCTGCCCTTGAACATATATCCATCTCATTGATAAATGTCACATCTCGAGATGGAGAGGGCAAGAGTAGGAGTAAATGAGGCGAGTGAACAAGCGACAACCTCTTCGTCGATTTAGTTAAACTCACATCTTTGTACGATCGTTACTGTTGTCACTGCTATTGGAGAACTTCTATAAAAGGCTTCTTTAGACACTGATGCACCCAATCTCAAGGTCTTCTTCCGCCACTCTAAGCCTATCTAAATTGACTACCGATGAAAGAAGTGAGTTGAGAACGTCCAGGTACGAGTAGATATGGGAGGACGCTCATACATAAACACCCATAACTTTCGGGCTACTGATTGTAGTCCCCCTTTCCAAACAATTTATCGTCAAGTTGTGCTGAGCTATACAAAACTATAACAGTTATATTATTTGCACTTGAATACTCGATAAAGCCATAAAAACAGTAGCATTCAAACCCATAGACAAAATTCATTTTCTCAGTGAGATAAAATTTTTAAATTGAGGCGAAGATTTTCAAAAAAAAAATTCCTAAAATATTAATGCAAAACTAAAAATTTAAGCTTTAGTAGTGCTTTATGTAAAAATTAACTATCGGTCAAATTGTACTGATGATCAGACAGAATATTTTTGTGCTTTCCAGAACCACAGCATATAATCTACAATATTCTGTCGATCATGTCTGCTACATACTGTGCAATTAGCAAGTTTAGCTCACTTTCTCATTTCTCTTTCTTTGCTTCAACATTTTTGAGATTAGCAGCATCTATTTTACTCTATCAAAATGCTCTACTCTTGTCATTTTCAGCTACTTTAATGTGCAGCACGCAAGTGAATGATTTATAAAAGAAAGAGTAAAGAAAGCAAAAATAATTTGAAATTTGGCAACATTTAATAAGCGTACACTGTGTTACTGAACTCCATGCTATGAGAGTAATCAGCAAACGAAGCAGGTTACTTTAATAATTAAGCTTATTATCAACATGCATCCTTGTCAACAATGGTTTGTAAGTTCGACCAAGCAGTATGTGTTAGGAATAATCGATCCTATCCGTAATACATTTGAACAGCAGCACTACAGGGACTATAAATGAACAATAGACATAAAAGTTTTTCATTTCTTCCCTTTTCTGTTAAAAATACGATAAGTTGAGATCACCGCTTTGAAGAAAGAAGGAGTCAAGTAGTTCGTTCAATCACTGAATGATATTTGAGATATCATTTCGTGTAAAACAATAATTTTAATAAAGAGATATAGCTATTAAGAAAGAAAATTGAGTCCTGTTTTATTCAAACTACTTTTCTTCATTCTTTATCCTTTTTATTCATGAACGTTGTTGTCATAGTACAGTGTTTGAGTATTACTAAAAAATTTGGAGTCAGTGACAGTATTTGAAAGATTTAAAAATCTTGAGGAAGAAGAATTCAAGAAGCGTCATTCACATCCATAAAATATAACTGTTCGGAGTATTTCCAAGATGATGGTATTCATGTCAGATGGCTATTATATCATGCAGTTTAAATTTGGAAATAGTAATATAAAATTGTTCATGCGAAATGAAGCGTTGAATAAATGTATTACAGTGTGACAATATTTATTGGTTAATGCAATAGCAAGTGTTGACCATCGCCTTACCGCTGGAATGATTTTACAGCCATCCTAGCTTTTATTTCAAGTTCCACTATGTGTTGTTACCATTCAAGCTCTACTTTTCTTTTCCTACATTTGACATTAAACATTAAATAATAGAATGCTCATAGTTAAATTTTCCATTATATAAAATATAGCATATATCATTTTAATATATATCATTTCTTCATTTACTCATGTCGATGCTTTTCTGGTCCTAAAATGAGTCAAACATGTAAATAATGCATTGAATATAAATAATAATATGCTGCTTAGGCATATCACACAACCTGTTGAATGTTCTTCAGAAATCATATACTACTGCTTAAAAAAGAGATGAACGATGTTTTTAATTTTTTTATTTTTAGCACATTAAGGAGATTGCTTCGAAGCAAATGTAAATCATGTTGCTTTAAGCCATTGCTCGTTTTATGTACGAAACATCAATTAATAAGATCAGAATTAAGAAAATTCAACTTTCGGTTCTCGTATCCGTCCTCTCTGTTCATTAACTAAACAGGCTTAATATCATTAATTTATGTTGCAGATGAACAGCTGTGTGATCACGCAAATCGCATTGCTATATTCCAGTTATTCATATGGTATAACATGTTATGAATGCTCATCCGGCGTCACCGATGACTGCCTAAAAGCAAGCGTTTCTTGCATTTATGGACTTTTTGGTTGCATGAAAACGACAATTTATTCCGGTGGCATTGATAAATGTTAGCTTTTTACTAATACTTCCAAAATTTTACTGTATGGTATACAAAGCTGCCTAGATAAATATTAATAATTACAGTTGGCAACTACGAGAACCAGGAAGATCGGATAATAGGCATGTACCGAGGGTGCACCATATTACCCATGACAGACTCTGATATATGTCAACAATTCGCATTATTTGGCTATCGAATCGTCACCTGTCACTGCTTCAATGATTTCTGCAATGGTATCGTATCTGTCCAAACGAGCCTACCAGTTATATTTTTATTCATCGTCTGTTATTTCACAACTTTTGTCTTGTAATTATTTATACACATAAAAACCTTATGAACTAAAACTAGGGTTGTTACATACAATCAGATTCAAGTCGAATGGGATTTGTCCTTTTTAACCTTCCGACTGCACCTCTCTGGATGAATGTTACTCTCCCGTCAATAACTTTTCGGATATTTGCTGTCATATCCAAGCTCTCCTCCTTACAACAGCACTACTCCCCATATAAAAATCGAGATTAATAACTACAGCCACATCAAGTAAATAACAATCTTTTTCCGAGTACCCCCACAAATTCAAGAGAGTACGCTAGCCCAACCACAATTTTTAAGTCTATAAAACCCAAATGAAACCTAAGTATTTCCTGTGTCCTAGTTCCCTTCTCGAGAATGGAATCTGTCAGCACTTAAGTACAGTTTTTCTACCATTTCTTGAACATTTTTTAATAGTGACATTTCAATTATTGCATCTTACGTTCAATAAATCACAGATTTACTAGGCAAATGATATGTTCGAAGTCTACTTAGTTTTTTGAATGAACCATAATCGGCTAATTAAGCAATTAACACAATTCTCTTATTCTGCAAACAAACAGAAAAATTTGAAACTTAAAAAAAAACAAAAAACAACGTGAAAAACATCAAAAATATGATCAACATCATCAATTAATTCTGCAAAGTTGTGCAGTCCATATGATAATACATCACGTCAAGCACGAAATACGATCTGAACAGTATTCCTATATTCAATGCTGAAATCAAAATGAAGATAGGTATGAATCTGAAAATTCTTACCTGTCATCAAAAAAAACGGCAAAAAAGGTAACATTTCAAAATTACAATCATAGCAAACTAAAAATATATGAAAATACACATGCATATTTCTTGATTTTGCATCTGGTAACAGGATTTTAGGTAATTATACCAAAGCGACATAATGGAAACAGGAGTTAAAGTGCCATTACTCACAGAAACAAACAACTAGGGCAAAAAGAGAAAAAGGATATGGTTAGGTATGAGCATAAGTTTAAGGAATGGATTTTTCTCTAAACGATGTTTTCAAACTACGAGTTTTTGCAATGTAAGAATGCTCATAGCTAACAAAACAAAAAATGCACATATACTCTAAGAGCACTTTGATTCTGAACGATAAAAATAATAAACATAAACAATGAAACAATTTGGAAACAATTTGGAAATTTTCAAATTCAGAAACTAATAATTAAGTTTTGGAAAACCGCTATCCTTAAGAGGCGAAATCAAATTATTGTGCTGCAAAGCTGCAAGAGAAGCGCGTTGAAATTCACTAGCTCCTGGACGTAGAAAAAATATTTCACCATTTTCAGATAAAACAGCTGAAGCGATTCCCTCAACGTCAGAAGCCTGTAAATCTATTGCAGTAAGCAGATAATCACCAAAGTCTTTCTAGTGTGAAGATATTAGTGCAAATTTTACTTATTTCGCTTCTACGTGTTCTACTTACTTCAATGTTATGACTTACTTGTTGTGTGATCTAGGCACCTAAGAATACGCAATAAGTATGCGGTGTATATGACTGAGCTTAGAAACTCGGATTTTAATATAAATTTTGATCAATTTTAACTGTTTAATTAATCATGTAATAGCTAACCATAAAATAAAAATAATTGGCCTTGCTTTAAAGTAACGAAGCCAATAGAGGGGGAAAACCTTTAAACAAAAATACCTTTGTGAAGTTAATTTTCAAATACTGTTTAATAGTTAGCGCAGAAAACAAAAACAGTTCGCCTTGATTGGTGATGATAACAATGAATTTTTCATACAATTTTCGATCTGAAAAAGAATGACTGTAGGAGGCACTTGGAAACTTCATATTCAATTTGATAAATAAAATAAAGGGTAACTACAGTTGAGAGCCGAAGCTGTCATCGAAACGAAGAATTACTTATTCTTGATGGCCATATTATTTTCCACAACACAGTCGACTTTATACGACTTGTTCAAAATTTTTTGTACCTTTGATCAACGCTCTGGTCGATATAAAAAAACCTGCTCAACGGTTCAGGGGAGTGAAAATGAAGCTATAGGAGTTGCAATGTTGATGAACAAAACAGAGTAGTGAAAGAAGTTTTAGATCCCTAATATTTCTATTATTTGCTTTAGAAAATCCACTCTGGCAATTATAAATGTAAATACATGAAGAAACGAAAATAAGTAAATGCTGGTATAAAATTTTCGTAAAAAATCAGCTTAGAAGTATTGAATATACTTGTAGATGATCGTAATGTAAGAAGCTGTGCCTTTCTAATTCGTGAGCCTTCCACACCAGTAAATTTATATCGAAATCTGGTTGGTTTCATTGTTGGAAGCGCGAACGTTTTAATTTGCTCTTCGGTATAAATGATCAGCCTTTCTGTACCTATCAAACCCTGAAGTGTTTCACCTTAAAAAATAGGTATGAAAACGCCATGCTCCGTTAATGTGTAAGAATTTCTTCACCGTACCTTTATAAGTTGAGACCCATCAACAGCTGCACAGGTGAAATCAATAACTGGAGCTCGATGTTGCAATTGCACTTCCTTCACGAGAACACAAACATCTTCTGGTTTTAGTGCATCATCTGATATTGCATAAGCAAATATCACTCCTAAATCATGTATTTATATTTTTATTATGTTTGTATTTATATTTTTATTATGAAGAAAATGACAACAAACGTCATCTACCATTATTCTTACCCATTACGAACATTTAAGAGAATTTTATGGAAGAATGCAAAACAGCTTATTAACAATATTATGATTAAACATACCACCATTTGTTCCAATCCAAAGGCTATCGGTGCAGAAAGCGGTAGAAAGAATGTTTGTATGGAAGAACCTAAGTACTCGGACCGCAGAAACGGCAGGATCACCAACTAAAATGTAATATATATCAATCATTGATTATCGTCATTATCACCACTTAAACAATGCATTAGTTCTTCTAATGGAAAATATAGAGAATTACCGTTGATAGGTGCCTCGGTTCGAGAAATAATTTGACGTTCAACGGGCCTCACTTGATCGAGGTCATCATTAGTTACTGCGCATGCTGGTTCAATGAAATGAGTTCCACCCTAAATTGGTGACACATTAATAATTATTTCATACGAAATTGATAAAATTTACCTGAACAGTAATTAAAGCACAAAAAAACCAAAATTTATTTGACACCATTATAACGCTTTAGCTTAAACTTCGCAAAATATTTTAAGAAAATACTTGTGGAACTTTTTTTTTGCGACGAAAAGACTGACGGATCGACTTTTTCATGCTTTTAAACCTTGATAATGTACTTGCGTCTGTTAACTCTGCAATGAATGCAATATTTATATAGATTTTGGCACTCGGTTAAATGGAATGTATAATGATGCATTCGTTGCCATCTTTGATTAACACTTAACACACTAATTTCTTGAGCATCTATATCAAAACAAACTAAATAAATATTAGGACAGGAAGAGAGTCGACAGTGGATTTTTGTAAAGCCATCAATCTAACGCAACTCTGCATTCATAGTTTTCTCTGTTAGAAGGATAAAATTAAATGATAACATTCCTACATCCCTCATCTTACCTGAAAAGTCAAAACTGAAGAAATATTAGCTCGGAAGACTAAAGGTTGCGATCCTTAAGACTCAGAGGCTCACAGAATTTGAATAAATTTACTGGCGGATAAAGAGACCTTTTAAAGTAATCAGGCATCTGGATATAAGCGTTGCTTGAGTTTTCAAATCACACATCACAAAGCCGTACTCGCATCCAAATGCTAAAAGATTGCGTGACCGGAAAGATGCTACTGCTGTTATTGCAACTGGTGGACGTAACTGAATAAGATAGCTAAAAACATTACTAAATGTAGGTTAAAGTCAGGTGTAATTAGCACTTTAAACCGGACATTAATTAGATAAGAGTTATCATTTTTTTCGCATCATATTATCAGCTGGCCCCAACTGCTAATTTGTCAAATTTCTTTTTTATTTAACACCATCAACAAACCTCACATTTTGCCCCAAACTTTATTTGTGCCCACAGCACATTGTAAGTAAATTAGCAAACAGTATACTCAAATCAATTTTAGCAAGAGACCTTCGATTCTGATCAGTTTTGAAGGGTTGATATCCAACTGGGTATGCCAGTGGAGCTCCTCTAGGAGGCAAAGCTTGCTGGTTGATGTTCGCTGGCAACTTCGACTTTTCTGCAACCTCATATTCTGTTCGCATTACGGTCAATGCTGCCTGAATGGTTTTATATATTTGCATTGGAAACGAACGGATACAACAATGTTCAAATATGACTGAAATTTACTTAAAAATTTTACCGATGGTTCATCATCCAAATCATATACGATAACATGACCGGCACGACCACCTATTACCAACCGTCCGCTGCTCACATCAAAATAGACTCTCTGTATGGCTAAACGTGGATCATCACAAAATGGATCGTATGTTCCAACCTTAAAATTAATTACGACTGCACTGAGTACACATCACATATCAGATAATTTTGATTGTGACACAAAAAAGACCTTGCGAAAAGGAGGCCAATCAGTAATTTCACTGGAATCTTCATCGGACGTTCCGTTATTGGAAATTTCAATTGAACTACCTGAAAATTTTGCACTCTATATTTCTGTTTTTATTTTTGAAAACCAACTATACCAAACTAGTATTAAAAAAAACTTTTCTAGTGAATTATAATATCACTAACGTTATAGTGAGTAAAAAGCACTTATATTCCAGAAACTATTGCTGTAATTATATGTTTACACCGATAACCTCTTGACTTATTGAAGACAAAAAAAACAACTAACTTTCAGACTCATATTCTGTTCTATCTGTGCCACTGTCTACTGAAAAGCAGCCTTCAAATTCTTTAGCTGTATTAATTTTCAATAAATAACGCAAACTGATAGAACCAGTTGACCAGAATTTCACAGTACCGTCTTCGTGTCTTAAAACATATACCATAACTATTTAATCAACCTTTATCAAATTTCTCACTGGAAATTTTTAAAACATAGATGACAACGAATTTAAATCAGAAATGAATTGAAAACGAAATGCGAAACTACGAAAATGAACAAATCTTATAGCTAGACAAAATAAATTCATTCTAAATATTCATTTGAGATTTAATGGATAAAGAATATTTTCAGCACTTATCACAGAAAACTTGCCCTGTAATTAAAAGTTGCCGTTTTTCTGCGTTCGTAGAAGCGCAGGGAGCAGGTGTCTGAGCATCGCCGCCAGCATGAACAGGCCACTTACACTTCGATGACAATTTATTTTGGGTTTCGCTGGCCTTAATCACTCCCTATAATAGAAGTTTAAAGAATTACTAAATGGTTCTGGTAATAGGAAAAGCAGAAAAACTGATAGATTTACCTTCCATACATGCTCTTCAATATTGGAGTAGTGCATAACACATGTAATCTGGGATGAATGAATCGACTGCAAATACGGCAAATTAAGAAGTGGCCAGCTTCCATCGGTCAAATCGATACACACGAGTTCCTGCTCACAAAGTACCATCAGTGCCAAGCAATTTTTGTAATCCGCATCTGCAAGTGACAAACGGCACTATTGTTGTTAAACCCTATATTACTACTACTTCACTATCAGCATTTTTATAACCGTACATAACTATCGTTAATAACAAGAAAATGAAAAAGCTATCCATGACTCAAGTCGAAGAATTGGAATCTACTCTAGCATGATTCAGGATGTTGACGGGATCATAGAAAATTCTCTTCGAGTACTATAAAATACTGCAAATGATCATATCCAAAAGTTGGCGAAGGAGTGTATGAAAAATTGTAATTCATCGTTAAGCGTCTGAATAACCTAAATCACTTAACTAAGAAGCTAACAACACACAAGGATTAGTGAGGATAATATACCCACAACACATTTTGCTTGGTCAGTGAATTTGAAAGTCTGAATCTAAGAGATCAAGAAAACACATTACCTTTCTGATTTTGTAGTGAAGGCACAACAACAAAGTCAACAACAGCGCTGCTAAAATCGAATACCACCTTTTTTCCTTCTCTCATTGCTGTTAATGTGTAGTGATCACCATAAGAAGCACGTGGCATTCCGCCGGTGTATAACTTGAGCGGTGACGGGTGGCTAAACAACAACAACACATATTCGACAGGATTACCATCAACAATGTCAGCTGATATATTATTCGTATTTAAATCTCGATTGCAATGCGGAAAAAAACAAAAACCGATCCTTGGTAAATAAAAGCAAAAAACTAAACTGAAAGACTTCTATTGTTACTAAAATACTGTTGAATTCATCAAAAAGCAGTCCTCGATGTTTCTGTAAGGCTAAGAAAACAGTAATGCATTTTTAAGTAAAGAATATGTCTTATATTACCTGGATGCACATATCCATCGTATTTTGTTAATAGAAGTACATGGAAATGGACCGAATGGTATGACGGATGCTTCCGCAGGTTCCATACACTGAATCTTCCATGTGCCTAATGACCCATCACTGTGAGAACAAATGAAATATTCTCCATCAACATGCCATGCTAAACTCTGGAAAAGAAAAATTGTTAAAATTGGTGTGGCAATTGCAGAGTGCAAACATGGGGACAAACGAAACTCAAACCAATAATAATCTTATTACCGAATTTCTCAAAGACTGGTAACAAAACAAAAATATTATGCTTTTAACAAAACATTATGCGTTTTTCTCAGTCAAAATGTTAATGAGTGATACCAAGATATGCTTGAAATAAAATAACTTTGTTGCGCAAAAAGCGATCTTGCCTACTTCAGCATCATGTAAAAGAGTAAAACAGATGCGCAGTGCACACACATTACCAGCTGACCAATTAGTTAGAATCTATAAGCAACTTGAATGCAGAGGCAAGACAAGAAATTATTTCATGCATTAACTTTATCAGAGCGCCGTTCCACTGCACGTTTAAAGCTCAAAACAAAACATAAAGTAATGAAAATAAATGGCATACAGTAATTGCTTGCTGAACAGTCCAATGGTGTAACACTTCACTGCTCAGCAAATTGTAATGAACAATGATATGATTATTGAATGCAATAAGAACTTGATTAGCATCAATCGGATTCACCATAAGCTGATTAGCGGATCTTCCAACGTCTTTTGAAGGGTTGATGCTGAATGTATGATATTGTAAAAGATATTTAAGGATATCGCATCTCGTTAATTTCAAAATTTGATTTTCAAAGCTATAAAAAGAAAACAGTGTTATTCGAAATTACAACTATCAACCTTTTCACAATTGTCTCCTCAAAAAGTAATACTTCGGAAAACTCGAGCGAAGCAGCGCACAATCCAAATATGTTACCCGTGATAGTACCAATGAACAGACGGGCATTCGCTGGGTTTTGCACATTTTGCATTTCACAGCACGTTATTCGTTTCAACCTAAAAGCACAGTGAAAATGAGCCAAAATGCAGACATAATGCTGTCAAAAATTTCTCACTATTAGTCATTTAAAGAATAGTGTTTTGGTTTTTTTGATACCGTGTTAAGGACGATTTATTATCGGAGAAAATTTTTTCAAATCTAAATGAAAAGAGCATATATTCACCACTACCTGTCTTCAGTAGTAACAGTGGTACGCTCAATTATGTCACCAGCAACTTGAAATTTATGAAAAGACTGATCCGAGCAAAGAACAATAAGAGTGCCCAGGCCTGCAGCAAAGTACATATGAGCAATGGCGGTATTTCGAGGTGTCGTTGAACTCCATTCCACGTTTTCTGCTCCGAATCTGTAATTATGCTATTTTATTATAATAAAAACAAAAATATCACACAGTCTGAAACTACCAACTTAACTTCCAACTAATACTAGTTATAGAATACTCCATATATGCTGAGTATGAAATGCGAAATTTAATTCAGTGTGGTAGTTCCTCTCCAAAGATTTGCTACTTAATCCTAAATTTTGTCCATACCCCGCAATCAAAGTTATGATTGCGAACAACCTGATATGTAAGGTCCTAAATAATGAACAATAATGAATGTCTGCATAACAAAATAATTTAAATTACCGCCTGGAGGAGTTTAGAATAATTTATGCAGTCGTTTATAAAATTTCCGAAAGTCTACTAACTAAGATAAGAACGCCCCAGAATCCTGGGAATTGCTTCACTCCTTGAAAAAGCATGCAGAAGGATGAAGGATTTACGTTCATTAAATCGTACATGCAGCGTAGTTCGACAAAAAAACTGGTTACTAGCACATCAAGAAAGACAGGTACCCCAAAGACAGTTATGAACCTAATCAGTTTTTAATACAACAAATAACGGTAAAGCTGCAGAAAGCGACTGCAATTATCGACCACTAACTTCACTTCTCCAGACATACTAGTGGTTTATATGTGTGATTATTGGCAGAACAAGATAGCAAAGTGCGGAAGATTTGGGAGATATTTAATCTAATTTCGAAAGATCATCTAACTCATTAGCTACTATCAAAATTCTAAAATGCTCCTGCATATTTCTATTAAACTGCCGCGAATATTATTGAGTGATGAATATAACAATGATGAGCATTAAATTAAAGGCATATTCACGAGCTGTGAGTCAGTATATTCACTTGTCGCAACCTTTCATGCCAACTTGAATAAGCTTTGAAGTAAGTTTAAAATCTCACCGAAATGCAGATTAACGAAAATGATTTAAATGCTTACATTCGTTGAGAATCATCCCGAAATTTCGAAAAGTATGAAATAAGAGTCTAACAACATGATATATATAGAAACATAGAAAATTTAAATCATACATTTTATGCAAGTAACGGCCTAAAGACCTTATTACTTATTACAATTTATGCTTCCAGTAGAGGGTCAACAGCACACGTGGTTATGAAATTAGGACTGAATTGACAAAAGGAAACCGTTGATAGGCCTCAACGAAATACTGTTTTATTATTCGGACGGATTTTAAAATATGCGGACGGAGCGAAGTCCATTGCTTTATATCTTGTTGCTATATTTTTGTTGTTTATATAGCTTCAATTGATTCACATAAAATTTTTCTGGCAACTGATCTGCTTACCATCCATAAAAAACCAACAACACTTTAGATGTCGGATAACTGATTGAAAGTTGAATGAATGTTCCCGAAATTATATGCACATGAAAATGCATCGGTGTGCACATTTTTTTCACAATCAAAAGATTGCAGAAGTAGTGCAAACCTGAGTGTGGTTGTTCAACATATTACAACACCACGGGTACCAAGATATCAAAATTCAGTGGGTCCTTTATCCGCACAGATGTGAAAAATTAATTATAAGTTCAAGTGGAGAGTGCCATACGCTTACTCTCGTGTTTTTCTGTCTCTGATGGGTGAAACTAGACACTACTTGACTTATGTACATATGAGCTTCCAGCAGATTTCTCAGCTCAGAATTCATCCAAAAGTTTTGCTTTCTCGTAATATGAAGTGGCCAGACAATCGATGAGGATTGCTCAAACTTACATTCGAACTTGTCCATCACTGGTACCTACCGCCATAAGACCCAGTATGTAATCGTACGCCAATGATGACACCAACTGCGGGAATCCATGCCGCAAACTCTGCAAGTTTTGTCCCGTTTCTTTTCAAAGTATAGTAAATATCCACTATGATGTGTAGTATGCAATGTAACGCAGTGCTCTACTAATTTCTTTTTCTATCAGATGGGAAATTAAAGAGGATTCCCAACGCTACTCAACATATAACAAATTCCTTAAAAGAAGGCAAGAAACATTGGTTTTATTTGTTTTGGATTTCAGTCCACACAAATGAATAATTTTTGAAACTTATTGAATTAAAGAAAATAAGAAGAAAGTCAAATAAAGAGAATTAAAGGTTTTAAAAAAGGTAAAACCGACAAAATTCGAACTTATAGTAAAAAGATGGTACCCTGTAAGAGACAACTGACAGAAGGAAATGAGTAACTAATGAGACATCACTAACAGGATTATACTCAAAAAAGTCGTGGACATCGGCGTTCCTGAAATCCCCAGCAGGATGTATGTGACTTCGGAGAAAACGCAACATCGGTTATCGCAGCTGAACTGTTACCAGTGTTTTCAAACTTTATGGTAAATCCGAAACAATGCAGAACTAGTCTTGACGCAGCATATTACCTGAATAAACAGATTATTTATTACATCATGTCATTTGCTTCAGCGCAAGCAAACTGAAACAACTCGAGTTGAGTCAAACCACTCAGATTAAGTTAATGAGCTAAATAAATTCATATTTCCAAAAATTAAAAATTGGGTTGAAACTGCTAAAAAACAAATCAGTCGTATTAAATCAATCAAATGAACTAAGGTTAGTTTTCTGACATATAAAGCTTCCAAAGCTAAGTTATATGGACAATACTATGTGGAAGGGAAGTTTGGTGGAAGAGTATTAGCTTATAATCTACTATGGTTATTAAGAAAACTTTCCACAGAACTAAGATGTAAAATACATGAAATGAAAACTGAATTTTAGCTTTCACATAACCACATAAATGAACTTTTTCCGAAAGTTTCACTCCTGGGGAGCAGACAAAATATTCTGTTCTTTATTATAATACCTAATGAACTTACTTGTTTTCATAGAAAATGATGAATCCAACTACTTGAATCTGCAGATACCATAAATGTAATAGGACATAAATCCCCATAACATTATTTGTCACTTTTGAATATTAGTAAGTCTACCAAGATGAAAGATATTTGATAAATGAATCTAAAACCAAAAAAGTACAAATTTACAGCAAAAGACAACTCGTCTATCATATACATAAATATAAAACAAAATGCTCACTTTAAATCCTAATAAAATTTAGGACTAAAAAATTTTTCTGCCACTTTCGACATATTTTTGAAACTGGAGTTTCTTCGGCACTACAAAATAATTTCGAATGAATATAACCGCTATAAAAAATGAAAAATATAGGATAACAGAATAAAATAACTTCTTTTTCTCACTGCCAGGTCTGTTCCATAAACTAGTCTTTCAGGTTAGTGTGATCTACGGATGCTATCTACATGTTACCCAAAACATCGATCATGCCACTCGTCAAACTATTCAGCTAATGTACGACAGGGCAGTAAGGATTGTTTTGCCTTAGCAGGCCAACATGCATAGTGCCTTTTCTGCCTACCTGAAACCTTCGAAAAATATGTTATGAATCAACATATGGCAAAATTTAGCGATATGACAACCTCCCCACTTCAGTGAAAATTAATAAGGGGATGGAATGAAGTGTGCAAAGAAAACATGATTTAAGTATATATGGGAGAGAGAGCCCACATATGATAGTAACACCCAAAACGAATCTTCTACAATCTTGACTGTTCCGTTTTCAGAGTACTTCGTTTGTTTTCTCTGCATACTTTTATTGAATTTAGTGAGATAGAATGGCATATGAGATAATTAATTTTCATGTCAAATTCAAGAGAAACTAGTAAATTTTAACAATTCCGGGTAACTAGAAGGATTTATACGCTAAGGATTTCCAAGCACAAAAGTGAATTTCTACAGCAGCATCCCATTTAAAGTGTTATAGTTTAACATTTCTTATCAATACCTTCTGTTTTTAAAAAAAAAAAATTAATTTGGTAAGACTCAAAAAAAGTGAAGAACTGGAAGCGAGAAAACAGTTAATTCAAATCTTGTAATTTAAGAGTGTCAATAAGATACACAAAAACGAAAAAAACTTTGGAATTAGAAAGATCAACAACGTCAACAGAGAGCAGTTACCAGTTAAGAGATTGAAGAATAAGCAAAGATGAAGTGCACAACCATAGCCTTTCATAAATTCGCAACTAGTGAATCTACCACACTTCAAAAGACCATATTTTCGGTTTCATATAACAAACGGAAGGTTCCATTCTAAGTTGCACATTAATTCACGAGCAACAACAGTAATGGCAGCATTTCATTTTAAACATAGCATACAAGAGCATAAGGATTTAGTATATTTCAGTAAGTGGACTTGATTAGAGAATCAGCACATTTAGACCACGATATACAAATGACACATAAAGAAAAACCAGTGGATCCACTACTGGTGACGTCCACCAAATCAGCAATAGGGGAAACAATATCGAATTCTCGAAAACAATATTTACATCACGTCACAATGATGGTAAAATGTCATTATGAAGAATTCAAAAAATTCTTTACGAAAATTTGTCACAACATATCCGTGTTGACAATCAAAGCAAACATAAATACCTAAGAAGGGATTTGGCATATTTCAGTAAGAATGTACGAGCCAGAGAGCTATGTAAAAGGGACGTAGGGCGACGTAATTACCATCACATACTCTTCCTTATTTTCCACCGCAGTTGAAATCACCATGTCACTTTGTTAGTACAAGAAGTCATCGCGAACAAACAAGCACAAGAGCTAACGCACAAAAAGCAGCACCATCACATCTGCAAGAATACGCACGCGCAAATGACCGTTTTCAGAAGTATAACAATGGGACAGTTATCGGTCGACCGTTAAATACCGGAAAGACCTAACTGGAGCCGGCTGCCGAAATTACTGGGAAGGATCTAGATGTTAAGCGCTTAGTCGTCGCTTGCAAATGCATGTGCTATGATACCGTCGAAAACTGCAAATTTCAGAATTATCATAGAGTATCCTAAGTAACTACGAAGATTCCTTATTAAATCTAACTTATCTCTCATAATAACTTACCCCTTGAAGTAGCTATAAAGGACCCATTTGATTCACTAAACAAATGTCGGTATGGCGATTTTCATTTCTAACAGGACGAGTGACGCAGAATAATCGGACTGGTTTTGTTGAGTATAGTTACGGTCGAGGGGAGGCAAGTGTTGAGTTGCGTCCCAACGTGTAATTATTAGGTCTTTGTATTGTAATTTAGCTCGGTTGTCTTCCTGAGCAGTGAGGAAAAAGAGATCTCCGCACAATGAACATCATCAAACTCAGCTAGTATCAAATCTGGAAGTGTTGTTTTCGACATTTTCGTTTGTAGGTATAATTTAACTCATTAGAGAGTTAGCTTGAGATCATCGTTTTTTTTTGAACACATGTGCACAAATTGCAGTCATTCTGTGTTAACGGCTGATATATTTATATCCAATTTTTTGCTCATAGGCAGAGTAAACTAATCGGCTTTATCGTTGTGGGTTTTTGATGATTTAACTATTTAAAATACATTCGTCTTTATTTATATATGTTAGAAGTGTTGTCCACTATTATTCTCTTTGATTTAAACGATACAAAAGCGTGCAATTCTCAAGTACTGATAATTCTAGAAGATAAATTCATTAGTTCTTCCCGGTTACTTCCTCTACCTAAGCATTTATGTCCAATGGCAGGGATCGTGATTCACTGACGACTCTCATGTTTTGTCTTGGATAAACTATATCACCGTTTCGTTAACAAACCATTTATGCTATAATAATATCGCGCTTGTTGCGCATGTATTGTTTTTAGCCGTTAACGTCCAGATGGCGTGACATCCATTTTTGAGTGATCGTAAGCCAGAGGAACAATGAAAACGTTTGAATCACGAACTTTATTTTCCAGGAATAGATTTTCCGGTGATTCTAGAGTTCAACAAATTCGAAACTAATAACAAAATTTATCTGATGAATCAACTCAAGACATCACTGTGTCAAAATCTCATGGACTGTATGCTCCTGCGCTATCGATGAACCAAGAAACGAAAAATGTGAACATTATGCCACATGTTATGCCTGCAATAAATGTACTATTCAAAACAATACTCGGCATTCTTGCTTCCTGTATTATAATAGTTATAAATGTGTAATTGAGGAAATATGAAGTATTCGTTTAAACTTTCCTGATCTGGATGTTTCTCCAAGGGTCATGCCTTATATTTCCGATTCGAAAGTAAGATGAAGCAGCAGAAAGAGAAGAAAATTTGATAGTTCATTATGAGATAAAAGATGTTAAAATATACTTCTCACTAAAATTACACGATATGCTATTATATCATGTCTTTTATTCATGGTTCAACCATGGATTTGATGAGGCCGACTATCGATCTTCCAGAAGATACCTCCGATGCGAACATATGTTTCACGCTTAATAGTTTACAGTCTCTAGTTTAACACAATTCATAATTTTCTATCATACAAATTCAGGAACCAGTATATCAAAGAAATAAAAATAACAGACCAAGAATCAGGAAGAATGTTGCTATCATGCCTGCGGCTGTTGACTTGGATGGTTCCACCAATCTAAATGAAATAATTCAGAGCTATAGATTTCCTTGTTAAGGTAGTTCGCTTCTGAAAGGAATCAGTATTGTAAACAAGGTATATAGTGCATAGCAAGCACTACTGCTAGTAAGATATATGAAATGTGAAATTATGCTCACCCTGGGACATACATCATTATTACGGAGCTGAAATATCCACTTGTAATGGACATGATAACTGCAAAAATGATGTAAATCCATATGTTGTAGAACCATACATTCCAAGTTCGGTATTCAGGACGGAAGTAACAGAACATCAGCAACGGGATAAACGCAATGCGTGCAATTACCGGGACAATCACCCACTTTGGTGATGGCTAAAGTTTTAGTCATGAATTTAATTCCATCTTCGAGAAGAGAATTTCAAACAAATAAATCAAATTCCAAAATCATTTTAAAAATAACATACCCATTGCACAAAATCAGCCAAAAATGATCCAGCTACAGCACAGGAATTGAACAGAAGATATGTTGTGACTGGAGTGAACAGCTTCTCTACAAATTTGCTAATTAAGCATCATAAGCATCGGATTCAGTGCCTTAAACTCTGCTAAACAGATGTTATTTGCGGTCGGTATGGAGCTTTACAGACATGTCCGAAAGTAAGACCGAGAACTGGTTAGATGTCTCATCGACACAAGAAAAAGATTCATAAGTTTAACTTAATGGTCGAGAAAGGAGAATCAGGTGTAGCGGAACGTTTAATAAGCTAAGGAAATCCGCTTTTTACTACCATCTAATATAAATTTTCTCTGATATGGGGTTGTTCTTAGTTAGGTAAGTCTTATGCTTCTCAAATTCAAACTACGCATGATTTTTCCTGGTTCATTAGATTTCCGCGTGAGTGATCAAAGTCGCTTGTGATTGCCATAACTAGTTTCCTTATTATTAATTGAACTTGCGTCACTGTTCTGATTTTGTTCATCCACCAAAATATGGGAGAAAGTTAGAACGAATGTACAGAAGTACCCGGTATGAAAAAGTCATATACTCCGTTTTCATTGTAATATTTGATATCAGCCATTACTATAGGAAACAATGTCAATGTGACGAAAAACACGCACCACACATTGAAACACTGAATCCAAATCTGAAAATGCATTAGTTCCCTAATGACGCACTACAAAATTTAATCTCGAAAGAAGAAACAAGTTTTCCATTCAAGAGAATGAATCTGTGGCTACAAAAAAGAATGAAGAAAAATAATTCGTGGTTGACATCTGTTAGTCATATAGGTTTTAATGGTAATATTCTTGCTAACTGCTTAGTCTCAAGGAAAAAAAACTATGCCAAGAATCTCAAGAACAAGTGCAGTAATTTCAGAAGTCAAAGCACAGGGTAAGTATGGTCATAGTTATTTGACTAAAATTTTTTAAAAACTCAAACTAATGGATGAAAAAGAAGACAACCTTTTTGAAAACATGGAAGTATAACTTCAGTTTTGCCTTCAAACCTGTTTTTGATACGATTCTATTCATCTCAGTCCCATCCGTGATTATTCCATCAATAGTGTTTATCCTTTCTAAATGCTGACTCTCTTCATCAGCGTTTTTTCTTGCTTTTTTCATATGGTATCTGTAGAACTCCTGAAATTATGCTTTATAATAATTAAATGTTTTATACCAGTTATTTTCAATCTTTATCCACACTGAAGATACGGCAAATTTTCAAACATACAAGTTTTTGCAGTAGGAATACTGATCCAAAACAAGCAGAAATTGTCAACAAAGAAATCAAGAAATAGAAGAACGCCGCCATCCATACATTTTTTGCAACTGAAACACACCGACAATCATTTCAAAGCATTGTTTGTTGCGCAACCCCAAATGTTTAAATTTTAACCATTCTATTTCTGTACTATCTTTGAACTAATAATGAGAGTGGCTTGTATGCAGCGCAAAAAGATCAATGAATGAGGAAAATGATCACTTCCCTCATTAATATTCCTCCACTATAAAAAAAATTAGGCATAAAATGTAACTCACCAACGAGTGTTATGATATTTACAACGGATACAAATGTACCGCATATGTTGTTGCCCAGTATCAGTGCGTTGGTATATTGAGGCGGAAAGTTTGCAGTTAAACCATAGAGTGAACCTTGATAAACACCATTAGCTGCATTTAGTAATACCACTGTGATCATCGTAATGAAGAAAAATGCACTAATCACTGAAAAAATGAATTAAATAATGAAGATTAAAAATCACCCACTAAGCGAAAAAAATTACGAAAATTCAAAGTTACCATCCGGCAATCGCATTTAAAGTTGTTAAAGAAATGAAAACTTACTGTGAGAGGTGTTAATAAGAGTGAATATAAGTGTTATCAGAATAATAATCGCCAGAACAGAAAGAGAAAAACCAATACGCCGTATAAGACCCCCTCTATAAATTGTCAAAAACAAATTTGCTGGGAAAAAAACTTAAACGCTCAATGAAGCTTAAATATCATCAGAATGAGTCAAATTAGACACTTTTAAAGTATAATCATTCCATTTCGTTTCGTTTCTTCAATAGCACACTAGATGCATCACTTAAAATCATCATTAACGAAAGTGAAGATCATCTCTGGTTGGCGATGCATGAGAAGCCACCGATCACATTATCTAATCCAACGCACCCTTTAGTTAGACTGTATGTCTCAGAGTATTTATTATTTATCATCTGTTTATAAGAGTTCGCTATTTGCAGTTCTTGCGCAACATTTATAGTATAAACACGAAGTATGAAATGAATATTCTGAAATAGTACAAACTTAATCTGGACGAATAAATTGATCAGATTAAGTAGCAAAGTCGGTATCTGCGAAGCAAGACCAAGAAAAGCCAAAAAATAAAGAGCATAATCGGTCTTATGCACCACACCATCGACACTCGCCGCCGAAAATTTATAGTCCACATAGTACTGCAAAGTTAATAATTTCAAAGTTATCAACACAGTGTTGACAATAGGTTTCTTCAGTTATAACTTTCAGCTTGCGAATCTCTTTTTGCATAACGATAGCCAAATAAGTTTAACAAAGCTAAATAAACGTAAAGCCAATAGCTGAACCATGAGTGACATAATTCAAGATGTTGGATTTTTGCAGTTATTTTATTTAAAATAATTTTTTTTGAATATGCTGGTAAACAGAAACAAGAACTTCGCAGATTCTAAACAAGGTGTCAGGATATTTTTCAGTTCAAATGATGTAATATTAAAATTTTGAGGTTTTCGAAGAGAACCATTCCATCCAAAATTCTACGTGATTTAGAAATCTATAATGACTATACAATAAATACGTCAAATGTTTTTGTAAAATTTGCGCTCCTTTATGCTTTGAATTTTGGTTCTGCTTCTATTCAGCGCTGAGATCATTTGTTACGAGAAATCTGTTAAGATTTTTAACAAGCATATAATGTGAACCAATGCAACATATTCATATCTGTTATATTAAAAAAGACGTGCAAAATAACGTCATGTAAAAAAGTATCCGGTATGAGTCTCTATTTCTTATTATTTTAAATAAACCACTAAGTTATATATATAATATTTCAAATTCAAAGAAAAAAATTGTGAAATTCAGGGTTAAGGTTGCAACTGCAATAACAATAGTCAAATAAGTGGTCTAAATCTCGGACTTTAAGTGTTATTGAGACACATATTTATCTACTTCCAGTATAAAGTACTATAGTATTTGAATCGGTTTTATTTAGAAAATTTGATGTCTTATCGCGAGTGATATTTCCACAGCATTATTAAGCAACGTTGTGCAAAACAAGCAACTTCCAGTAAATCACTGATAATTTTGTTCAAATCCTTACCAACTTCTGCAGGCTAGAAACACTAAATTCTTAGTTTGAAACATAACTGTGCAAACTTACAGAGGGAGCAATCGTGATGAACATGTTCCATGGCATCAAAACGCCTATCCCGTGAAGTAGTACAGCGAAATACACAGCATTATACTTGTCTTCAGGAGGTTTATCCGACAGCATATCAATCGATTTTCACCGAGACGTTCACTTAAACTACAAAAATAGCATAGTAATTGTATTTGTGTTTCATTCATTGAAAACTTGATATCTTATTCATCATGATATTTCCATAGCATTAAAAAGACTTAATGATGCATTCACAAATTTGCGAAAGCAATTTAAAAAATATTTATTTTCAGCAGAAATTAACAGATCCTTAAAGCATGATATTAGATGTGCTTATTAAAGCGAATAATGAGTGCGCTTATTAAATAACGAATACTGAGCACATTGGAAACGTTCAAATTCGACAAATATATCAACATTGTGGTTGATTTATTTAAGAAGTAAAATCTGAACAGTCCACTGATCAAAAAACATAAAAGTTGGTGGGTGAAGTTTTCTTGCAAGTCACAGATTGATGACAAACCTGAAATATTGTAAAACAGCCTCTATAAGTGCATTTTCAGTAAAGAATTTCTGTTACATTCTCTCAGTTCTCATTCTTAAACAATAATGTTGACATATTTACAGAGATGTTTTTTGTACTGTCATTGATACCAGTAATTCATTCACAATTCTATTATGAAACAGCCCATACATAAAGTTATCATAAAATTTTGATCATAAGTCGATGTTATTTAATGGACTAAATAAAAAGACAAAATGTTCGATTTTTGAATTTTAATTAGCTTGAAAAAAGTAGTATAAAATGAGAGTAAAAATTACGATGATACAGCAGAATGAGACAGATGATTTGTAAGTAACCTTTTCATTGGCTTAGAAGTATATATAGTTAATCAATTATCTATTATTTTCAGAATATATTATTTCATATTGAAAAATTCGATTCCTAATTAAATAAAATCACACTATTATTTGAAAACAGAATTGCCAATGCAGAAGTTATGTTTTACACTAACAAAAAACGAAATATTCGCAGACCCCTAAAATGCTTCAACTTTATTCTCAGATTGATTCCACACTGTTCACTATCAACATTCCTGACTACTTTTCAATATATAGAGCAGAAGTGCCTGACAAATTATATATATATGCGTGTCATTTCCAGTTCCAATAGAATTTTCTGACTTTTGCTCATTTGTATAATCTTTTCATCCATTTCTTATATATACTTGCTTCGTTCTCCCGATAGAGTTAATTGATAACACAATAGAAAGAAAG